CTTTTTGGGAACACCCCAAAACAAACTAGACTTCCCATAGACTTCGATAGAAAATAACGACAAAAACCAACGTCTGTACACACTACACAGCCGACAGGCGTAAATAAGTTAAGAAATCACTTATATAAAACATGTCAAGTAATAATACAACCACCCTGCCTGCCATACAGCATAAAAGATACATATACAAACTTAATTTGTTGGTCAATTTAAAAACAAGTCGAACCGTTGTATAAAAGCAATACCACACTCGTAGCTGTGCAATATGGCTCTCTATATCAGCAGAGCTGTGACTGCCTACGGCACAAGGCAATCAAGCAATATTACATGGCTACTTGTGTGATATTGCTGATTTGTTTCCAGTGATATTTCACTGTTTGATATGTAGTGAATTCTTACCTACTCTGATCAGTACGCAACAAATGGCCTAAATCCTGTTAGACTGATGAATCAGTGCACAGATAATATTGTGCCATACTTTAGTATTTTTCTATTTCAAGCTACACCATGTAAAAGCTTACTAACTGGGAAAATGTACAGGTGGCGCACGTCTCTATCAGCACTAAAAGCTGGATTAACACATGAAGGCTCTACAGCGGTGTTCCAGAGACATCCATGCCAGGGCTCCCGTGTGCTGGGCATTTTAGGCTCTTCCCACCCTGGCTGTCAGCAGCATGCAGACGCTTTGTTTGCACTAAAAGCTTTGCTCTCAGACAGAGAGGAACATCAAACTCTTGGCTCGGGCTGGTTTAACCCAGGGAGACTGGCTGGGCTTTCATGTGCCCACACTGAGCCACTCATCGGTTTTGAGCTCAGCTGCTCTGATGACACCTAGCATGTGGGAGAGCAGGCGCCGAGGTCCTGCCTCTAATAATAGTCACCACACTCATTGTGGAAGATGGAAGCTACATGTACACACAAAAAACAGACGCACTTTGTCCTTTGGAAGATGAAAGGGCTGCCTGATGAGGCACTGCTAATTGAGGCTGTTTGAGTAGTGGTTTTGTGCTCTAAAAAAATACGCCTTCCTTCCCTCACTCCTGGCTTAGGAATAGAAACAAGTCCAGTGCTCCTTAGACAGTGAGTTAGGCTTGAGGGCCATTAACTGCCCAAAGCAATGCCTCAAGGACCTTAAGTGCTGAGACTAGAAGTTTTAGACCAGCTCTGAGTGGCAAATTTGACTCATTTCAAGGAATAGTTAAGGTGAGATATACACAAATCCAACCATTTGCTGCTGACAAGTCGTCTACCATACTAAATGGGTAATGGTATGGCAGGTTGACGTAAAATGCTACCATTTAGAAGAACCGGACCAAATTGACCCCTCACTGAGCCAAGCCTAAAAATGTTATGGACCGCTCCTACCTTAGCAGCTGTTGGATTATCAAGTACTTTTATGTTCTCGCATGTCATTCAGAGGATCTCTGTGTTTGGATAGAGAAGGAGTAATTTCAGATAAATTATCCAGAAGTATGGTCAAATGCAGGGTCACACCTGTTAATAGGCACAAGCACCTCCCGTCCAGACTAAAACGGGAAAAACGAAGACCTAAAACGGAGAAGTTTAGAAACGCTGCAGCTCCGTTTTGTGTTTTGAATCTCCGGAGGGCGTTTTAGTGAAGACGGGACAAAACGGAGGAGTTCAGAAACGCTGACGCAGAGGCTCATGCTCGGCTCTATGATTGGGTGTCATCGGTCATGACGTATCCGTCCCTGATTAGTCAATTACTGTTTACATCGGCACGCCCATGCCCAGTGTTGGTGAATGGTCACGTGATCCGCGTTTTCAGTCGCTTTAATGTGGAGATCATTTCTAATACGCAGATAAAACGCTGGTGTGGACGGAGATCGTATTCGTTTTAATTCTCCGTTTTAAACGAAAACGCAGTAGTGTGGACGGGGCCTGAGAAGCCTTGATTTAGATTTTCAGTTTTTAAATCATGCTGCAGCTTAATTTAATAATAAAAAGAAAAGCATCAGATAAAATTATCACAATTTATTCCAGCCAATGTAAAAAAAAGTATCCAATCCAATTCATATCACATTAGACATTATTATGCATATTTTATTTTTAAAAACAATAATAATAATATATTGCAGAAATCTCTAGTTTATTTCCAGGATGTTCTGAAATAAACATTTAAAACGTTTTTTATTACCAGGATTGGGGTTTGACCCCACAAAGACATTTGTCCATTTGTCCAACGCCACAAGAACATTTTGATCACTTTTGATGAATTCAATGCAAAAAAATTAAATTTCTTTCAAAAAAAAAAAAATGTATATATATATATATATATATATATATATATACATTTTTTTTTTTTGAAAGAAATTTAATTTATATATATATTACTGACCTGAATTTTTGCCTGTAATGTATATGTATAAAATACATAAAATGCCTAACATTACTTTTGAAAGTCTACCAGGGATTATGAGCTGCTAATATTTCCGGAAGCGCCTCTTATCGACCTTTCCCAAATAAACTGTCACGTCCCGTTGGCCAAAAGCTGAGGCAGGCACTTCTAAAGCTTCTAGAATCCCAACCAGAAGAGACGTCCACTTAATGGAGGGGCATTATTAAACATGAGGAGCACTGATTGTATCGAGCTCTTTCCTCTCATCGAGCAGGCCGTCACAAGTGGCAGAGAGAAAGCGAGGTATCGGCTATGTACCTGTGGAGCATCGGCTATTTGGGAATGCAGGATGACATCTGACATTGAAGTGTCCCTGTATTGTTGCGCAAGTGGCTTTCAACAGGCACCAAAGCATCTTTTCAACTCATTTGTTTTCCATATTGCAATTTCAACAGTCACCACACAAAATATAACCCTGAATTTTTGGTACTCACGAAAGATGCTGACATGAAAATGGAGCTGAAGTGCATTTAAAAGCTTTAAACACTTGTTATAAATGGATGTTCATGTTGCTCACAGTGCCGGCTAATACCTGTGAGGCACAGACAGAATACTGTGAAATTAAAATATTCAAGCTGCTGAAATTGAATACATATTCCCTGCTGACTACCTGCCTTTCATTCATAAATCAGGTATGATGGATCATTTTAGAAATGCTTTGTTTACCAGTGACCTTGTCTGCTAAATGAAGCAGGCATATAGTGCAACACAAGAGTAGCTCCAGCATAAACATTATTCTTCAAGATTTGAACAATAACTAATAGAGCCAATGACTTGACACTTCACTAAGCCCCGCATCCCTTTGCTACTGTTGCTTGACAAAACATATTATTTGTTTTTGTCAGAAAAAATGTGCACCCAAAAATGGTACATTCACCCAAAAATGATGATTATTTTCTCACCCTAAAGTTGCTCCAAAACTGTATGAATGACCAAACAGCTATTTAAAAAAAAAAAAAAAAAAACATGCAAGTAAATGGGGCCCAACAAATGTTTGGTTACCAGAAATCTTCAAAATTTTCTTTTGTGTTCAGCAGGAATTCATACAAGTTTGGAACACCTTGAGGAACACTTTCATTTTTGGGTGAACTATCCCTTTAACGAATCAATAGTGATGTTGCATTTTTCCTTTATAGAAAGAATTAGATAGATATTGCAGTGATGTAATTAAAGACTAAATTCCAAATCACAATGGTGGCAGATGCTTCACAATCAACTGAAAATTGTCACATTAGATAGTAACATTAGTGTAAGTGAACAGAGCTGTTTCTAACATTTCTACAACACACTCGCTATGGTACTGTGAACTAAACACTACAATGAACTGAAACAATACATGAATTATATGACGTTACGATTAATTAACCCCAGAGCAAATGTCAGTGTTCTTACGGATGTTCAACATGTTAATTTACAAAAACGTGTCACAGTTTAATTCACTTCATGCACTTGTCAAGGTTTATTTAATGATTTGGATAAGGACAAAAACACTGCTTGGGGTCCCATCTGGAGACTTGTGTCTATTATAAATTACCCAATTTTCATAACAATTGCATTGAAACGCATAAATGCTCAGAAAGAAAAATGTCAATAACACGTGGTTTTAACTAGCCTACCTACTGTAACTTGGTACCAACACCAGGCTAAAAGGAATATTGCAGATTATTTACAACTTGTTACACTTAACATGGAAGTCTAGACAAGTGGGCCTGAGCTTTTAAAGCAAATATTGTATGTAAGGAATACATATTGTATTGTTAAAGAACTTTATTTAAACACAAAGTCTTCAGTTTAAGTTATCATAAAACTAAAATTCACCCTATTTATTTTAGAAAAGCAAGTTATTGATCTCACTGTGAAAAGAACGTCCATGCATAATTGCCACCGCTTTCTTGCAAATTGTCTGCAAGCTTACATTCAGTTCTCCCTCGATCCAAACATAACCAATTAATTTCATCAAATCCACAGTGTTTTCTTTTTTTAATTTTCAATAATCCATTTAATTAGGATGTAGCTCACAACAAATAAGAAAAGATCTGTTGATAATTAAATTTCACTGCAACAAAGGTTGTTTTTTGTTTTGTTTTTACTTGAGTTGCTAAGTTGTTTAAAGTTAAGGATGCACAAAATATCAGCACCATATTGGTCACTCTCCAATATTTAAGTTTTTTCTTCGGATATTGAATATGCTGTATATCAGTTTATGTTCCGTATATTTACATTTAAATGACCTTTGCTAAAAAAAAGTTAAAGCTAAAAAAATGAAAATCCATTTTTCATATTGTACCATGTAATGTTGTGATGACAAAAATCACTTAACCTTTAAAATGATTGATTTCAATATTTAGGTTTTTATATTTATTTTAGAGAACATCCTAGCATTCAAAAACTTTAATAATACGTTTTGAAAATTTCTCTGCTAAAATTTTCCAAATTGATGCATTCCTAGTTACAGATATATATTGTAAACACGTACATGTGATGCTGCCTTTTTCAAATTGAGAAAACAAACCTGAAACACAAAAACTGCGCAAAAACAGTTGATGAATAGTAAATGTGTTACATAAACACAGTGACTCACCCCTCTCGCTGTGCTTCTCCTCTTTCCAGTTCCTGAATGACCCCTAGCAGCACTTTGATGGTTTCTTGACTGGAGCTGATCAGAGCCTCCATGGCTTGAAGCCTGGCTTTCACATTACCATCAGCCCTGGGTAGAGCAATCATCTGCCCCCTTGTGCCCTGCCTGGTCTCTGCGGTGCCAGACTTTTGGCTACTGTGACAGTGGGCATGTACATGGGCCTGGGAAGCACAGCTCGCCGAATGAGGCAGAGCCTGAGACTGCCCCTGCAATCCGTTCAGCTGTGCGGTGTCTTTTTTGCGTTTGCAGCTCCCTGGGGGACTCTCCAGGCATTCTACTTGTGTCAAAGACGTCCATGCAATAGGGCCGGAAATCTTTGAGCAGTCACCCCTGACCTGCAGAGGTTGAGTCGGTGTGGTTGAGGAGGCACAGTTGGGCTGCCGGCCTGGCCCTGCCTCGCTCTCGCTTGATAATCCTTTGTGCTTGGCCCCAGTCCCCGGGACGTTGGCGTCTCTCCTCGAGTCGGACCGATCGGAAACCGTATCTAACGGGTCAGGGCAGAGTTTTCCATCCGAGCAGTCTGGTCCGGCGCATAAGTCCTGCGGAGTAGCGTGGAGCAACACTCGGGTCTGCTGCACCCGTCCGTCACACCTTTCCGCTTGCTCCCCACCCTTCACGTCACTGAGAAAGCCGTTGTTTTGATCCGGGTAGTTCTCCACCAGAGCGGTGTGTTTGATGACATTTCCCTTCTTGCGCTCGAAGGGGAAAGTCTGGTAGCGCTTTTTCAAGTCGGGTGAGGTTTGAACACCTGTGCTCTTGGTGACATTCGGGATGGAACGGCGTGCCGGCATGGTCATGTACCTCCGGTGGATGACCTTGCAGGAAACAGAGCGGTTCCTGGCACCTCGATGGGCGGCCTCATTCTGCGCCTCGCAGATGTCTTTAAAGCGCACCTGCAGGGCTTTGTTTCGCTTGCGTACCGAGTCTGCTCCGCTCTGTTCCAGCGAAGGCCCGCCGGACTCCGAGTCAGACTCTGAGCTTGACAGAGTGCAGCGGCCTGCCACCTTACTGACCATAACTCCTGCGAGAGAGAGAGAGAGAATGAGGGATGGCAAGAGAGTTTACAGTTAATAAAATGGCAGTGATTGCAGCTCAAGCACAGATGGCCTAGTTTTGTCTTTTCCTCAGCGCACAACATCCTGGCATTCAAAGCTATATTTTTATGTTTTTTTGTGTGTGCGCGTCTGTGTTTTGTTTAGCGGTGGAAGTCACAGCTGACACAGAGCGACCTGCATTCAAGCTCTCTCATTACAGTAAGGCTTCATCTCTCTAATGAGGCTGCCAGTACATGGGAGATGAGGGGTAAAGCTCTGCCAGCAAGATGAACAGGGTCTCTGAATCATCATATATGAAATGTAACTCAACACTTGATGGCAAATACAGACATAAGGAAAACATGAATTAAGAGGAACAAAATGGTGTAAACACATCAGCAATCAAAGATGAGTGTGGAAGTGCAGGGAAAAGTGTGATGCACAGAAATTTTCACTGTTGTAGTAATTTGGGTGAGAATAAGCTGCTCGTGTACTGAAAACGCTAATGGATGGTGTGTGTGCTAAATAAAAAAAATCTGATTTACCAGTTGGTGGACTGTGAATAATTTGCCAGTTTGCGTTCAATTTCAACTATGGCTGTGTAAAACTCACTGACAGTGCTTGTGCAAAAGTGGTTTTGATGCATTGCTGTGGTGTTCTCGGTGGTTTTGGGGAATTGCTGCTAGGTGGTTTCTAAGGTGTTATAGGTGGATGCCAGTGGTTGCTTGCTAGCACTAATAAAAAATAGGCAGTACTCTAAGTGATATAGAGGGTCGAGAACACTACTTTTGTGTAGGTTACAGCTTGCTTACTACTAAATATTTGAAGGCGGCACCATTAAAATTTAAAAGGAAAAAGTAGAAACATAACCCTGCGTATACAATAAATAAATAGTGAAGTCTACAATCAGGAGTTACAGTTAGACTAAAATGGCTAATCAAATGGATCACATCAATAAGCTCATGTTTTCCGTGACAGACTTCAATGCTTTAGATGATGTTGACTCTGTGTGCGTGCATACATACATATACAGTATAGGGTATAAATTAAAGTAGTGGATGTTTTGAACTTATTTTTACTCACAGTAACTCTCAATGATAAGTTTCCATTGAAATAATAACAGAATATATTGAATATGCAAATAATTTTGAGAATATTTCACACCTATATGTGTGTGTGTGAACTATACATTTAAAACAGACAGAATAAACTGAAATTCACAGGGGAAAATGAACACAATGAAAAAGATTTACAGTCTTGCTCAGAAAAGTAATAGCACACATTGTTGTTCCTGCAATTAACTGTACAATTGCAAATTTAATTTACGTTAATAGTTTATTATTAAGGATTAGACACCACATTTGAGCAATTCTAATAGCAAATCACTGGTTTAAATTACAGCTCAACCCCACAACTCTGTTTAAGATTCCTTATCTCAGATCACCAAGTTCTAATAATGTTGTACACATTCCACGTTCACACAATTTGTAACATGCCACGGCTGGGCTATACGAAGTCAAATAAATGTTTCACCATGTCGATAAATATAGTGCCGAGATACATTCTGTATCATATTCATTTCACTCAGCTGTTGTCCATCATTTACTATTAGTCATTGCAATGTCTGGCAGGTTCAGTAACAGGGAAGAATGCAAATGGACACCTTGTCATCCGTCAGGCAGCAGCAGTTTCTTTCGGTGTCTGATTTTCACTCCGTAAGCTTATCTGACTCGACAGTGATAACACTCATCCTCCTTGAGTCATTGAACTGCCCCTGCTAACGATTTAATCAGCATCTCAAAATAATGAGCCTGGTGTCCTGTCATTTTTTAGAGCTAATATGGTGGGTACTCTCAGCCAGGCTGCAGAATATGCAGTATATTTTGGCAGTGAAGGTTAAACGTACGTCGGTCTGCTTCAGTCTGAGAGAAAGCTTAGTCATAGTATTCCCTAAAAAGGTTATGTAATGTAACAGAGTTGTTATTATTAACCACATCTAAAACTGTTACTATCCAAATTGTTAATAACGGTAAAATAAAGATAAAAAAAGGTGCCTTGGCTACTAAATTACAACATGTTAATAAATACAAAATAAAAAATTAGCAAACTTTTTTTTTAGTTTGACAAAATTACCCAAAATTAAATCTTATAACTGAAAATATAAAAAATAAAAGCTACATCAAATTATTAATAAAATATCATATCGCCGTTACGTAATAATGCACATTTTAAAATATGAACTAATGCTAAATGATATACAGTGGATTCAAACAGCAAATATTTCTAGTTTGGTATCAGTGTTGTGTGCATGTCATTTTATGCCGCTCGATATGCACTTTTGCAGAGCCCACTGAGGTGTGGACTTTATTGCGTTGGTGGACTATTACCCAGCAGGCCATGTGGAAGACCCAGAGAGTGATGCAGGTGCCATAGGTACAAGGCCAGAAAAAGTATTGAATTAAATTTTTGGTATGTTTTATCTTACCTCAACGGCATCCAAGATGTAGGTGTCTTTGTTTCCAAAGTAGTTTTAATTTTGATATTTTTAGGTCAAACCGTTCTTGTCGGTCAGTCATATAATGCAAATCTATGGTCACCAGCTCAAAAAACATGCACAGAGAAGTCCAACTTAAACACGATTTAATGACTCGTAAATTTAAGTACACATTGATGGCCTAAGACACGAAATGAGCGGTTTGTGTGAGAAAACGAACAGTATTTATACAGTTTTACCTCTTATTACCACAGCCACGTCCAAGTGATCTGAGGGCGCAGGCGCTTCGGTCTGCGCAATCGCCGGAAGTGATCTCTCACGCGTGTAAATTGGGTATTTCTGAAAACACACCACTCCCGGATGACTTTGCGTAAGCATACATAATTGTTTTCTTTAGCAACGGTTTAAACATCCCGGATAAGCGCAAATTAGTGTCATTTTAATCAGCCATCTTACCTACAATCTCTGTTCTGTGTAAACAATGAATGACGTACATGCGCGAGAGATCACTTGTGCGTGGCTGCTGTTACAAGAGGTAAAAAATATAAATACTGTTCGTTTTCTCATTCAAACCACTCATTTGGTGTCTTAGGCCATCAATGTGTACTTACATTTACGAGTCACCTGTGTATACTCTTTGAGGTGGTGACCATAGACCTGCATTATATGACTGACAGACAAGAACGGTTTGACCAAAAAATATCAAAATTGAAACTACTGCGTAAACAAAGACAACCTACATCTTGGATGCCCTTGAGGTAAGCTAAAACATACCAAAAATGTATTTCAAAGTGAACTATCCCTTTAATACATACAATCACTTGTCAGAATTGTATTGTCTTGCATGCCAAAATCTTGAGATCTCTCCTAGCATCTGCACTCCTACCAATCTCTGATTTATAGCACCATCTGTCCTTAAACAGATGGCGAATGCTGATTGATTCATTGATTCTGTAATTTAATTAAATCCACATGGTAGTGGCTCACCTGCGTGTCTCGTAAGTGCCAATGAATTGTGAAAATGATTAGGACTGAAAACAATCTTTGGGTCATTTGTAAGTACTCACTGTGGTGTTCTGGGAAATGATTTTGAAATATCCTGGGAAGGCATTCAAAGCCACATAGAGGCAATTATTAAAACTAATGGTGGACACTTGAGCAACTGATTCTGTTTACTCTTGTGGAAGGTGTTAATGGTCGATACCAGAGGACCCAGCAACACTTTAGTGTTGTAATCGTGTTTCTTGATGGCAGCAATTACTGTCATCATTACTGTCATCATCAATAATTTGCAGTGAATGATTCTCATCTCGAAGAGTACGTGCCAAAAATACCTTGACATTATACATATAGAGACTGGAATCTTAAGGGGATATTTTACCTAAAATATACATTCTCCCATAATTTACTCACCCTGATTATGTTTTTCCAGCCAATTACAATGAATGACACTTCAAATAGGACCCAACATCATCACCAAATTATCATTAAACAATCCATATGAACATGAATGAACCCGGTGGTTATTCACTGAAAATACTGACAACCGCTCTTGCTCTTCTTGGGGTGTTCATGAGAAAAGTAATGATGTCCATTTTAGGAAAGAATTACTTTTTGTTTTACAAAAGCTGTCTGAATGATTAATTCACAAATCATCTGATTTTCAAGCTCTCAAGATCATCAGTAAAAATCAACTAAAAAATTAGCCTGACAGGCATTCAAATCTATTGTATTGACTATTGTAAGCCTTGATGTATAGTGCACAAGTCATATAGATATTTATGGTTAAAAGCCAATAGTTGCAACTTGCCAAACACTGTAATTGAAAAACAACTTGAAAATTCTTTCAAAATGAAGATTTTTGGTTTTAAACCACAACTCCCTCACTCTCAGGCACTTTCAGGCACACACGCAGAGAGGTCCCCCTTCGACCCTGACAATTTGGCCACCGACAACCCCAGGATTATGAGTAATGCATTGAATCTAAAATTGCAAAAGTAATCCTCTTAACTCTCCTCATGCACTTTAGCAGCATGTCAGTTCAAACAGGCCCGCTGCTCCTATTGAAAACGACTGTAAAAAAAGAAACAGACTTAACTCTATAACCATAGACATTTTTTTCTAGGTTTTCAACATATTTATTTATTAAGTTAACCCACACTTTAATCCAGCTGTGTCCATGACTGGTTATCATATACTGTAGATATGTAAAGCTTCCAATGCTCTTCCTTTGGCAGGGGAGCCAATGTACCAAGCAATGTCTTGTTAAAAACATCATCTTACATCCCTAATCAATGTCATCATATTCCCAGATGTTTCTTTATGTTTCAGATCTCATTTATACCTGCTTCAACTTGGACCACAACCTGATATACACAACCTCTATATTCTGCATTAAAGGAGACCACAGATTTAGGCGCCAGTTCCACAAGGGAATTCATGAAAAATCTGTCCTAATCTCATGATTTTGGGTGGATAATAAGATTGGCTGTG